TGAGGCCACGGCCTCGGCAGTCTCCTCCCACCTCTGTTGGAGCGCTTGGCGGGTGGGTTCTTTCAGACGCTCTTTGTCAGCCCTCTCTTCGATGTCCTCGATGCTTTTCAGCAACTCCTCTCTCTGGTCTTGGAATGCTTTCTTCAATGATGCCAGGGCGTCTGCCTCACTCTGCTTGGTTCCCAGAAGGTTCTGGATCCTCTCTAACTCCAAGCAGAGGTGATCAGCTGAGGTTCTGCAGGAAGTCCTTTGCCCAGAGCTTCCACATTTAAGATGGTATTGGGCTTTGGTGAGAATGCCGTCCAGACCGATGGCAGTAGATTCTAACGTCTTCACGTCTTGAATAGCATCATGTAGGTCCTTTTCTAATAAGTCAGTCTGCTTCTTATTCATACTGTTGGTTGCTTCCACCGTCTGCCTCAGCCGGTGGAGCGCCTCTGACAGAGAGGTGTGGCTCTGCAGGAACCCAGCCAACTGGGCCAGGGCCAGCTGCCGCCTCTCCACCACCTGGCCGGCCTCCTCGAACAGCTGGAAGCAGTCCTCTGCTTTGCCCTGCAGGACGTGAAGGTCCTCGGCTCGACCCAGAGCGCCCAGCTTCGCGAGGTGCCCCTGCAGACTTTGCAGTTCCCCCCTTTTGCTTTCGACTTCTGCTGCGTGGTCCTGGAAGGGAAGAGAGAGTCACTGGTTCCTCAGAGACACTGTGGTTTTTGACACAGACATGTTACAGAATTGGTGATGTCAAGATACACAGTGCAATATACAATCTTGTAGCACAGTAACCCACACCGGAAACCTATAGGTTCATGTTGACCAATGTCACCCAATCAAGTTAGTAAATAAAAATTTAAAAAGTTACATTTTAAATGCAATGCATGGTATAGTATTTAAAGGTCACCCACAATGAAACTTTTAGAAAGATTCTTAAGATTTCTCTTGTTTTGCTCATCGATGTATTTCATATAAAACACAACTCTGATTTGGAACTAATGTATTCCATGAAAAAGAATTCCTTTGTGGATAGAAATAGTTAACCTATATGCTTCTATTAACCAATGTCACCCCAATAAATTATCAAAAAGTATATATCCACATATATAAATTTGAAAGATTTTAAAAGATATATGTATATACAGTTAAAAGGTATAGTTACAGTGTATACAATTAAAAGAAATTGAAAATTTGTAAGGTTTTAAAAGATATGTTATATATACATATATATATATACACACACCTTCATATACATATACATACAATCCAGCTAATTCTAACATAGTGAAGGAGTGTGGGAATAGGCAGACATGAGCCTCTTTTCAGAGGTGTGAATAAAGCAGATGAAATTGCACAAGTTTTAGCTGCCTTCTCTCTAAGGAAATGTAGATGAACTGGCTAAGGCTGTTGTATAGAAAACTTGACCAGCTCACAATATATCATGGTTAAAACCCATCAGAGGAATACTAACACTCTCAGCATGGTTTCCACAAAAGAGAAATGATCACCTGTCTTAATCGTGATCAGAATGGCCCTAATAGTTCCCTCAGCCCAACTACTAAACTTTAGAGGCTTCTTCGAGCATTTACTTTAGAAAACTTACAAATTCATTCTCTGTCCCTTTGAGAGGTAAATCTTCTTAAAACCTCCTGGACAGTTTTACTACTGAAGACTAACTTTCTCAAACACCTGGGAGTCATCCCCCTGAAATGTACTCATCCCGGAACATGGCGCCCTAGCTCCTGTCTTTAGAGGGTGGGAGCCTAACTCTGGTGAGCATCTTGCTCCAAATTGTAAAACCATCTGCGGTCATGAAGAAAGGAGAACATATTTTCCCATTGGGTAAACCCAATTGGCAAGCCCAGCATAGAATGAACACTCAATAGACTTTAAATGTATTATCAGTAAATATTGTTATAAGCTTATCATGTAGCTTACCCCAACTCTTCCAATACTTGATGACCAATATCTGATTTTTAATTTAAAAAAAATATCAGGATACATATTATGCATAATTTAGAAATAAGAAAACTAAATTTTAAATAACTTTCAAGCTGAATAGTAATTCAGAAAAACCATATTGTGAAAGCATTGGGATTCAGTATTAGTTTTTAGCATTGGACCAAAACAAACTGGGAAGCTTACAAATGAACATTCTCATCACTTTATCCTAAAATCATTCGCTCCATTGTGAAAACAAGGTGTTTTATCTGAAGTGGTTTTATCTGCTTAAGGTATCTGCATCACACATTGTGAGAACATATATGGAGAAATACAATGCTAAATCGCTGGCAAGTGTTTTTATAAATTCGCTTCCCTTTAGAATGGAAGAGCTCTCTGGGATGAACAAATGTTTCTTCCCTCTTAAAGGAATGCACTTTACCTTGTGCCGGGTTGCAGCTGCCTGATGGTCCATTAAGCTGATCTCAGACGTGGCTTGTAATTCACCGAGAAACTGCTTAATCCAGACGGAGAAGGAAAGCAGCAATTCATCAAACTGCTGGTGCTCAGCGACCACAGACTGCAGGAAGTGAAGCCTAGGCAGAGGGCGGTGCGGAAGGTGAAGTGTCTTAGGGGTGCGTATATCTTGGCCAATACATGTTTTCGAGTTTTTCAGGTTTATACCCAGGAGAGGGATTGCTGGGTCGTACAGTAACTCTATTCTCTTATTAATCAATGTCACCCCAATAAAGTTAAAATCAATCAAGCAATCAATAAATCAATAAATAATAAAAGTTTAATGTCCCGCAGTGGAACGGAAGAGTTGGTATGTTTTTGGAATCAGCTTAATCACTGGCAAAACTAATGTGGTCCAACAGGGACAAACCAGAACTCTTAATGCTTTCTACTTCTCCAACCCTGTTTCTCTTACAATTTGCTGCGTCTCAGTTACTGTCGGTGCTGCCCACCCAGATGGTCCTCCATTTCTTCACCACTACACCTGCTCCGTGCATGTCTGGGCACCCATCATAGCATGCTGGGCTCTCCTCTCCACCTTCACGCCCTGGTCTGCATCGCCTCATCTCTGGCCTGGCTTCCAACAGCCTCCTAAGCTGGCCTCCTTCCTGCCACCACCGTGGCCTCACTATAATCCACTCTCTAGAGAGCAGCCAGGAACGATTTCCCTGTCATCAGAACACCCTCTGCCAAGCCTGAACCCGGTCACTTTCCTGGGTACACAGGAAGGCGAAACGCCACGGCTCCTTACTGTGGTCTACGAGGGGTCCCTCATCATCGACTTCTCTGACCTCATCTGATCCAGGGCCGCCCACACTGCCACTGCCCTCCGCTTCCCCAACATCCCAGCTCATTGCTGCCTTAGGGCCCTTGCCCTTTCTGCGCCCTCTGCCCCTGTGATCTGTCCCCGAAGCTCCATGAGTCTGCCTCCTGCACAGCGTTCAGATCTGCATCAGACGTCATGTACCTGGGGGGCTGTGCCGGACCTACAGTCCCCGCCATGTTACCCTGTGTTGTTGTCTTCACATTATTTACCAACTGAAACAGCGTCATTCACTCATTTGTTTAATTACTCTGCCTGCCTTGCTTACTACTATATCCCCAGGACCTAGAAAGGGGTGTGGGATATGGTCAGGGATCAACCATTGCTTGTGTAATAAATGAACCAGGTTGACTAATAACAGGTGAGTGGATGCCTTTGTTTAGACATATCATGAGAAAGAAAATTTTAATTACCATTTTCTCCTGTACACAAACAGCTTAAGCAATAAGTAATACAAACATGAGCAAACCTACTCTCTTTACTATAGTTCAACTAGTTTGGTCATTTGCCCTGATTATGAGACTAAAATTTTGAATTGAGGTTCATCAGAAATGCCAATATTTGAGTGCTTTGATTTTTAAAATGGCAAGTACAGTGGTTTTCTACCCTCCTATAATTATCCTGTGAATAGTTGGGTTAAATAAAAATAAACAAAACTATGCTTTCTTAGTTTATAGGCTCACCATTTTAAAAAATGCACACTATTAGAATGTTTTATAAAACCCCAACCTTTTGCTAAGTATCTGTGGCAAAACTCTCCATCTCTCATCCAACTGCTCCAAATGTAGTTTCATCATTTTCACATCATCTTTGGAGGCCACTGAGAACAGTGATTCCTTCAGTTGCACAAGGTTGCTGTAATTGGAGGCCTGGGAAACAACTTCACTTTGCAGTGCCTGCCGAACACAGAACATGTTATAGATCTCTTTCCAACATGATTGACAAGGAAGGGCCACATGACACATAATGACCTTTGGAGGTTGTTATCCAAGCAAAATGGAGGCTATGGGGACTAAACTATAGAAAGTTTTATTCCTTAATTGAGAAAGGAACCCATTTCGTCTCTAAACCAACATTTAAAAGGCTACTGAAACTTGAATTCGTTTTACAGGGTCTGAGTTACATTGTCAGGCACATTTAGATGCTGTAGAATTTCTTTCAGGATGAAGAAACTGAGCAGGCAAAGAGAATCAAAGGAGAACTATTGCTAAAGAGAAAATGCATGCCTAACGATAAGAGAGATGCAATTCTAGGTAACAGGGATGTGGGCTCCCTCTGTTTAGAGACAATATTGGGCCAAATTGGGGAGCTTAAGTGCTCTTCATTTTATTTTCATGCAGCCGAACCACTTGTTTTTTATATTTCATCAGACAATAAATCTCTTAGGTCTGTGAGGGATGCATAAAGTTGTGGTTCCCACCTAATAAGAGGTAAACACGCATATAGATAGCTAACAACATAGCATGGAGTTAACGGGGATGATAGATATAGCTGGCACATGGTAGGTGCTTGTCAAAATGCTTTACCCTCCTCTCTATAGTAACATCATCAAATCGGCAATCGCCAAGTTCACCAACACTTTGTCTTTCAGGTGTGGGTGGTTCCTTGTGGGATCACAAAACCAAAGCAAGAAGTTAAGTTGGCTGGAGGGCTTGCGTTTGCTCCTGTTTTACAATGCAGCCACCACAAAGAGCGTGTGTTTCCCCCACACTTCCTGGAGCTTGCCTGTGTCAATTGAAGTTCGCTCTCCACTTTGACCCTGTCTGCAGTGACGTCCACTTCCGGGGAGCCGGCTATGGCTTCGCAGCGCTCCAGCCAGGTCAGAAAGGTCGACAGCTCTTTCTCCAGCCTAAAGAGAGCAGAGTCAGGAAGCAAATGCATCCAAAATTATCGTATTAGAAAGCGAGGCCTTTCTGCAGTTGGAGGGTCCAACACTAAGCAATACAAACAATACAATGCTGGTTATCTTATTCCTAGACGTGAAGGTAAGAATACCACTTCTCTCATGTTCACATATGTCCTCATACATATGTCCATATGTGTATAATATGGAAAGATACATGTACCTGGTACATCCTGTCCACTCCCATGTTAAAAACATGACTTGACATGTTTTACATCTGGGATGATTATTGCCCATCACTTAGAGAGCAGTTGGCCCGGAATTTCCTATTTAAGTATGTCTATGGCCCAAACAGTGTGGCTCAGTGGTTGAGCGTCGTCTCATGCACCAAGAGGTTGCTGCTATGATTCCCCTTCAGAGCATATGCCTGAGTTGCAGGCTTGATCCCCAGTAAGGGGAATGCAAGAGGCAGCTGATTGATGATTCTTCTCATCATTGATGTTTCTATCTCTCTCTCCCTCTCCCTCTCCTCCCGCTCTAATATGAATATAAACATATTTTTTTATAAAGAGTGGCTATTGAAACCCAGGTGGCAACCGGAGAAGGCAGGCTGCTCACCGCTGCCAGTGGGCCAGCAGGTTCTCCAGCGCCGTCTGTCTCTCCTTCGCCCGACTCAGCAGCCCCTGGTATCTCTGCTGCAGGGACGCGGCCTCCTGGACGGAGCAGCCTCTGCTCACGACCTTCTGGGCACCAGCAGAGAGAGCGGCCAAGGCACTGCTCAGGGACTCCAGGGCCTGGCAGAGATCCTGGGGAGGGGACAGGAGGAGGGCAATGAAAACAGACAGAAATGAGGCCACCATTTTCCTCTGAGACCCATTCCCACCAAAACTGTCCCCTCAGTCATAACACACAACAATGGCACTGAAAATTGTCTGACCATGATTTCCAGTGACACAGAGAGTGAGGAGAGAGTTATTTCATGAATGCAGGAATGAAAATGAAAACAAAGAGACTACTGCCCCAATAAAACTATGCTGCTGTATCTCAGAATAATGTCTACTTTTCCTTAACAAGTTAGATAATTTGTGAAAATTATTATTCATTTTATGTGAAATTTATTTAAAAACTCTATTCTAAATTTTCAAGAGCTATATGTAACATGCAGTAATTTCTATAAAAATATATTGGAAGAGTACAGCTGACATAGCTGTTATCTTTTATGCATATAGTTATCTATAATAAAAGTGTAATATGCTAATTAGACCAGACAACCAAATGACCTTCTGGACATCATTCCGGACATCCTTCTGGATGAATCCATGGCAGAGGAGGTTAGGGATGATCAGGCAGGCAGGCGAGCAGTTAGGGGCAATCAGGCAAGCAGACAAGCAATTAGGGGTCAACAGGCAGGCAGGCAGAGTGGTTAGGGGTGATCAGGCAGGCAGGCAGGCAGGCAGAGGCGGTTAGGGGCAATCAGGCAGGCATGCAGAGTGGTTAGGGGTAATCAGACAGGCAGGCAGAGGCAGTTAGAGGTGATTAGGCAGGCAGGCAGGCAGGCCAGCGGTTAGGATCAAGTGGTCCCGGATTGCGCAGGGATTGAGCCTAAACTGGCAGTCGGACATCCCCTGATGGTCCCGGATTGTGAGAGGGTGTAGGCCAGGCTGAGAGACACCCCCACCCCCATGCACGAATTTCGTGCAGTAGGCCTAGTTATGATAATAACCATAAGTAGCCTCGGAATGTGGCAGGTACTGTGCTATGTACATTACATACACCAACTCATTTACTCTCCATCAGACCCTTAAGAGTTATGTTCTTTCACTAGTCCCATTTTACAAATCAGAAAATCAAGACAGGGAAAAATAACTGGCTTCAGAAATCTAAATATTAAGAAAAATAGAATATTATCTTCTCTGGTAATAGACTTAGTTGTCTATTAAAATAATTCCATGAAATTCAATTAACTTAATTTTCCTCATTTTGGGGGTACTTTTTAAAAAATGACATCAGTAACACAAAAACACATTCTTATTTTAACAATTCCAATGATGTCAGTTCCTCTCCTCTTTCCAGATGTGCCTTTGCCAGTTGTCTGCTTTCTGTCCCTAAAGCCCTTTCCTGCATGTCTGTATGTGTGTGTACACATGCACATGTAACAGGGATAACATTTTTGTTTATTAATTAACAGATGTTTTGTTTTCCTTTTTCTTTCTGCCTGATGCTCCTCCTTTGCTCCTTCCCCTGAATTCTGACAGAAGTATCTGCTATTCCTTCACAAAACATCTCACAACGGTCACCAGTTCAGGGACCAGACCAAACAAGCTAGTCACTGCGAAAAGGTGAGTGGGGACATAGCCTTTGCACATTTGAGTCTAGCGGGTTAAAATCTGAAATCTGCTCTGCACATGTATATTTTTCTGCACACTTAATTTTTATAATGCTGGTAAGAGGTAGCGGGATTTATTAAAGCTATGATATGAAAAAGTTACGTGTTCTAATTAAGAGAGAGGAAGACTTTTTTTCTGGAACAAAGTAGGTATTTTTTAAAATTTAATTTTTTCCACCATCTCTTATCCCCTCCCTGTCCTCCACCACCTGCACCCATCCTCCTCCACCCCACAATCACCACACTGTTGCCCATGTCCATGGAGAGAGAGAAATATATTTTAAATGGATACTGCTTTAAAATACATTTTAATGAAAACTCACTTGCATGCTTATATTTCTTGTGTCATATGAAGTAAATATGCTGGATCTATATCATTCCTCATATAACATAAACATTTAAAAAATTTTAACTCTCATAAAAATGTTTACTATGTTTCCTTTTCAAGCAGGATTTATCAAGTTTCCGAGTTGATAAATAAGCAGAAATGTTGAAGCATACTCTTACCATATGTTCTTGGAGAGCTTTGTATGTTTCTGTAGCTGAAGAACATGTTTTAATTGGATCAGCAAGTTTATCTTCAAATTCAGACACAGACTGCTGGGCCTAAAACATTGATGAAATATCAAAATAATGGTGGGAAAAACATACATCAAGACGAGAAAGGTTATTGGGGAAGCAGCATGCCTATCATTTTTGGATAACTTTCAATGTGTTGATAAAATACGTTTAAAAAAATCTAAAATGAATGTGTCCTATTATTTCAAAGAAATATAAATAAGTCTTAATGCCTATCTGAACACAATGTATAATGACATTTTTTATTCCCTCAAAAATGTGCCATAAAAATAGTTATAAACTTAAGCATCATGGACAACTTGGTAAATAATTGGCAAATTGTGTTCTTTCCTTATTCCACTATTTCTGGACTTTTTACTGCATTGCCCTATAAATGCAGTATGAAACAGGTCACTGTAGCATGCATGGGCCAATTCTTACCTTTCTAAGATTCTCTTCAAACTTTTGCTGCTGAGAGACCTGTCCCAGGATTGTTCCTTCCAGACCCTGTGCGTGCTCTCGAAGTTCTTCCCAGTATCTTCTTAGTTGTGTCAACTTGGCCTTGATGCGGGCTGATTCTCCAGTGGTAATAAACTGGGCAAAAGACTGCGCTTCTTCTTCCAGCCCTGTGATGCTGCCGATCTTACTTTCTATTTCCTGAATCGTGACCTAGTATTCAAAACGAGAAAAATGACAACGCAGGCTGAGCAAGCTTGCCTTCCTAAAATGATACAAATATTGCAGAGAGAAAACGGACATTTCAATGTATTGGGGTGGTCAGAGAGCAGCTATGAACAAACCCCATGTGTTTGCTGACCTCATTTTTGGAGGATAGATATACAGATTATGTCTGAAATATACATGGGTGGTTGTGCTGGCTGGATGGAGAATGAAGAGAAATAGCTACTCCTGCCTGCAGTGATGTAAGCAGGGAGATGTCCCTGGAACTCTGAAGGTAGCTGGAATTCCCTGCTTACCCTATAAATCAAGGATTTTAACCAACTGATCAGAGAAGGAGTGTGCTCCAATCACTCACAGGAATGCTAATATTGACATTCGCTTAAATTTCCTAAAATGTAGTTGAGTATTTCAAATTTGACCAAACTACAAGCTTATCTGATTCCACTCTGACTCAAACCCAGTCTTTTCACATGTATCATCTATCCTTTATGCCAGTATATTCCAAGTCTGGAATACATTAAGATCACTTGGCCCCCAACCTCAGGGACTGGGACTCAGTTGGTCTAATGTGGAGCCAAGTCTTTGCAATTCTAACAATTCCTCAGGTGACGCCTCTACTGCTGGCCCTGGGCCCCCCTCTATTGCCACTGCTTTACTCACTAGCTGTGGGCTCTACAGCAAAGCACCTACTTGCTACAATTTCAGTTGTGGGCATTTTATATATTAGCCAACACCTGAAAAGTGCTGAAAGCCATCAAGGATGTGTGTGCATATGTGACCGGAAGTGTCTATCTGTCTCTCAAAAACGTAGAGGCTTATTTACGTAGAAGAAAATGAAAATTATTTCTCTGAGGAAAAGAGCCAAATCGTTCAATCAAAATAAAGCAAAAAAAAAAAAATCCAGACAATCTGTTTCAAATCATTTAAATGAAAAATACTGTTACCCTAGAAAAAGATAATGTGACTTAAGCTTAAATGAGGAAACATAGAGATAATTTCTGTCTCGATAAGGCAAATCAGAAATAACTAGTGTGAGTATATGACTTATTTTACTTCCAAAATGCATGACTGCAGTGGCATACTTGATAGGTTTTTGTTGTTTGAGCATAAATACAATTCCTCCTTTGTTTTACTGTTTATAAATGATATTTTTTTAGAAAAATTACTCATAGATTTAACAAACATATATTGAGTGTTTCCTAGGTGTCAATAATTGTTGTAGGTGCTTGCAACACCTCAATGAAACAGTTTTA